GAATCTTTTTTTTTTTTTTCATTTTTATATTCAAATGCAAAATAATTGTAATAATTTATTTAATACAAATTTTAATCTGGATTTTTCAAAATATATATTATAATATATAATAATGTTATTATAATATATTATTTAAAAACAGGAGATAATTAAACCATGCAATTTTAGCTTTATATATATCAGTATATGTTATTATAGAATTTTATATTTGAATTAATATTATATATTTTATATTAATGTTTTTTATATATGTATTATGTATTTTATTTTTTACTTTGTCATGATTTTTTAAAAATGTAATTGAATTAATTATTTTTATAAATAATATTTATTAATTGTAGTCATTTGTGTATGAGTGTGTATATATATATATGTGTGTGTGTGTGTGTATTATAATAATTTTGAGTGTGAAATGTTTAATTTTTAAATATTTAATTAAAACTTGAAACTAATTTTAATTAAGGTACTACCTTACAGACATTATTTTGAATTAAAAGCTGGTTTAAAAAGTAAATTATGGTTGTCAAAATCACTTCACTATGTGGCATTTTTAGCTTTCTAACATTTACCCAAACATCTGGATAACATCTAGATAATGTTAGAGGAATGTCGCAGTGCATTCCTCACCCTCATTCCGGCATTATCTGGGAATACTGTTCATCACTGGAGTATTTACAGAAAACTGCAATGTTTGCACATAATTTCCTGTCAAAAGAAATAACATAGGCATATCCTTATTAGGGAAGAGGCTACAGACTGTCTTTTCTGTGGCAATCTTTCAGAACATTCTCACTGAGAGAAATAGCAAAAAAGCATCTCTGACCTCTGAGAACTTCTGTCATTAGGGCATTTCGCACCGCTTTAGTTCCAGAACTAAACGTACAGTACTAAAGTACTGGGACGATTTTGCACGAACTATTTCCCAGTACCATTTAAAGGGTTGCATTCGCACCGAGAGTGTGTACTAAGAAAAAATATTTACATGTATATATTTATATTCATATAAATTATATCATATAGCCTATAAATATATTTAATATATAAACGTCACATATTTTTCTTAAATATATATGTAACAAAGTTCGTAGTCACGGGAAGAAGGAGGCGGGAACTGGTGAACATTTAAAGACTAAAATAATAAAAATAAAAAATTAATAAAATAAACAAACACAAAATGAAAATAAAGTGGCAGCCCCTCGCGGACTACTGCCGCGCACAAAACACAAAATAAAGTCCAGGCCTGGTCCTCTCTCGTCCAACACTGTCGTCACTCCTCCTTTTATCCTTCTGGAGCTCCTCTCGCTCTGTTCCCACGGCTCTCGGCCCCGCCCCTCTCGTCACAATATACATGCATGTGTGTGTATTTATATATACATAATAAATATACACAGTACACACACATACATTATGTAAACAAAAACTTTTATTTTGGATGCGATTAATCAAGATTAATCGTTTGACAGCACTAATTATATTATATCATATTTATCATGTTTTTCTCACTTATTAAATTTGTCCTGAAATTAGTAATATCATGAATCTTTTTTTTTTTTTTCATTTTTATATTCAAATGCAAAATAATTGTAATAATTTATTTAATACAAATTTTAATCTGGATTTTTCAAAATATATATTATAATATATAATAATGTTATTATAATATATTATTTAAAAACAGGAGATAATTAAACCATGCAATTTTAGCTTTATATATATCAGTATATGTTATTATAGAATTTTATATTTGAATTAATATTATATATTTTATATTAATGTTTTTTATATATGTATTATGTATTTTATTTTTTACTTTGTCATGATTTTTTAAAAATGTAATTGAATTAATTATTTTTATAAATAATATTTATTAATTGTAGTCATTTGTGTATGAGTGTGTATATATATATATGTGTGTGTGTGTGTGTATTATAATAATTTTGAGTGTGAAATGTTTAATTTTTAAATATTTAATTAAAACTTGAAACTAATTTTAATTAAGGTACTACCTTACAGACATTATTTTGAATTAAAAGCTGGTTTAAAAAGTAAATTATGGTTGTCAAAATCACTTCACTATGTGGCATTTTTAGCTTTCTAACATTTACCCAAACATCTGGATAACATCTAGATAATGTTAGAGGAATGTCGCAGTGCATTCCTCACCCTCATTCCGGCATTATCTGGGAATACTGTTCATCACTGGAGTATTTACAGAAAACTGCAATGTTTGCACATAATTTCCTGTCAAAAGAAATAACATAGGCATATCCTTATTAGGGAAGAGGCTACAGACTGTCTTTTCTGTGGCAATCTTTCAGAACATTCTCACTGAGAGAAATAGCAAAAAAGCATCTCTGACCTCTGAGAACTTCTGTCATTAGGGCATTTCGCACCGCTTTAGTTCCAGAACTAAACGTACAGTACTAAAGTACTGGGACGATTTTGCACGAACTATTTCCCAGTACCATTTAAAGGGTTGCATTCGCACCGAGAGTGTGTACTAAGAAGTGACGTAAGCCGGTCGACAGCTGCGTCATTTGTGCGCGGCGTTCAACAACAGAAACAAAGAAGAACAACGTTAACAACAGGAGGATGGAGGACGCTGTGATCGGAGCTGTGTGTTTGTTGTGTCTCGCGGGTTTCACAATAATGGACATGGAAAGTCGACGTATACGTAAAGCGATTGAAAGAACGGAAAGGAGGACTACGAATCTCCAACGACAACTGGCAGTGCTACATTTGCTACAAGTGGCTGCACTTCAGCGTCCGTCCATCTATCGCTCTTCTCCATACTTGCGAATTAAGTTGACACAATGTTTACAGTATGTTTACACAGCGTTTTAAATCATGGCGGGTGAGGGCGTTTTCGTACGCGTTTGGCCAATCAATGTCTACTTACGTCACGATTAGTACCAGTTGTGCTGGTTAGACCCTGCTCCGAAGTAGGAGCTAATTTGGTTCTCGAAAAAGGCAGTCCGGTACTAAAATCGCACCCAGTTCCGGCGGTGCGAAAACGCCAAAAAGTGGGTAGTTCCACAATTAGTTCTGGTACTATGAAAAGGTTCCCGCTGTGCGAAAGGCCCTATTACTTACTCACCCTCAAGTCCTGTAAGACTTTCAAACAGGACCCTAAAAGTGGTCTGTATGACCACTGATTTTCTCTGCCATTTCATAGGCCGCCACCTTCTTTTTTCTAAGAGGCTTGACTCCAAAAGTACAAGGTGACCTGCAGTAGAAAGCAGCCCCACTCTTAGATATCCAGTGACTTGGCATGGCTCACTCTCACATGAAAGCTTATTAAATCAGGCAAATGGAATAGGAAGGCTTTTCCAGCTCTGACACCATAGAAAAGCAGGTCAGTACTTGCTGATGGATACAAAAGCTCTTGTGAGCGGCCTTGCTGTCTCCTGCCTATACACAAGCAGCCTGTGCCAGCTGATACAGAACCTCATAAGTAACTGATCTGGAATGCTCTACATACTGTAAGCAGCAGCTCACAATGGATTCTAATGTTAGCGTGTTGCTAAGCTACATGGGTTGAGTTCTGAATTGAAGAACTGGCTCCCTTTCAGTTCATAAGTGTGAAATTGAATTGGCTTCACACCACAGGAAGCTGAGGAGTTCACTAAAATGCAATTTAAAGAAATTCAAAACAGGTGATAAATACTGGAAAATAAAAATGATTTCCCCAAAGTCCACAAAAGTTAATTTATTAAACATGATGAAATATATTCAAACTTGTCTACACTACCATTCAGACGTTTGCCGTCAGTGTGATTAAATTAATCATTATATTCAGCAAGAACATGTTGAATTAATCATAAGTGATAGCAAAGAAGACATTTAGGATTATAATGTTACAAAGATTTCTACTTCAAATAAATAGTTTTGAGCTTTTTGTTCATCAAAGAATCCTGAAAATAATACTTTTGTGGAAACCATGATAGATTTTTAAGCAGCACAATTGATAATAATAATAATAAGTGTTTCTTGAGCAGCTAAACAGCATATTAGAATGATTTCTGAAGGATCGTGTGATACTGAAGACTGCAGTAATGGCTGCTGAAAATTCAGCTTTGCATCACAGAAATAGCCTGGCAATGTTTTTGGTCACTTTTTCAAATTGATGTAATTAATGTAATCAATCAATTTAATTATTATTATTTTTAAGTTTTAATTAAGTTTTATTGTATAGATTTTGTAAGCTGCAATATATGACGTATTTTAAAATATATTCTATTTAAGTATATTTTAAAATGTACTTTATTCCTGTGACGCAAAGCTGAATTTTCAGCATCATTACTCCAGGCTTCAGTGTCACATGATTCAGAAATCATTCTAATATGCTGATTTGGAGCATGATTTCTTATTATCATGAATGTTGAAAACAGCTGTGCTGCCTAATATTTCTGTGGAAACTGAATGAAAGTATTAATTTCTTCATAATAATAATAGTGATACTTGCCTTTGCTAGCACCACTAATAAGCAAATAGAAATAAGATTTCACCTTGCATTAAACAGGAATGTTCTCCCATGGCGCTGCATTAATTTCAGTTTGGCAAGGTTTTCAGAAAGGTTAAATCCTATTTTATGGTTCCCTGATTATTTTTTGTGCTCTCCTTAATGAGATTTTTTTTTTTTTTTTTAAATCAACTGACTTCGAACCAGAGGAGGTCAGAGACCACATGAAATGAGAAGTTTCTTTCATATTAACAAAGTTCAGTTGCACACTAGATGGTGAAATTTCTTTCTAACTGTATATCTTTTTCTCTTTTGCTTTGTCTAATATTAAACCCCCAAAAAACAGTTCACTCACGCAGATACACTTAATATATGTGAAAGGACTTGAAATATGAATGAGTGGGCAGAGTTTACTGCTGTTTGGCCAATCACCAGCAATTCCAAAGCAAGCATGGGTTGGTTTCCTTTTACAGTCTCCCTGTTACACATGCTGTTTTGAAGGCATGAATTCACACACACACATACACACACACACACACACTGGCGTACACACAGCTGCACTTGACAATCTGCTGCAGGCTTGCCAGCCGGCCGGCCACTGATTCTGAGCTGTGAAACAGAAACAAGAGTCTGTGAGAGAAAGGAGCTAGAAAAAGAAGTTGAAGAATCCTGAAGAAAGCAACTTTGGTTAAAGATCCTTGAAGAGCACCTGTCACTTGCTCAATGATTGGGTGATACGGATCCAAGGCCTGGAAGTAACTGAAGAGATCCAACTAAAACTTCTTCCAGCACTGTCTATGGGTACGGAATGACCTATTGCACTGTCCACAGCCTCTCCGAACTCCCTCACCACCCATGAAACGCTTTAGCAGCTTGAGAGGGACCAAAAAACGCAAGGACCAAGAGGGGCGGACAGGGAGACGGCAGTCAGAGCCCCACGGCCTCCTGGGAACCAGTAAGATGGCAGTTAAGGCTTATTCTGCAGCATTGTTTTTTTTTATGTAGCAACATGCAATTTATTTACATGACTTTGTTATATATAATGTATTCATTTTTTTTCCATGAGTGACATTTGCAGGTAATGTTAAAATATTTGGACACTTGTAAGAATATCATTGCATTAGATATCAAAATATCAAACAAGCATTTTCTTAAGTAAAATGTTAGTTTTAGTAAAAAAGTTTAGGTAACACTTTATTTTAAGGTGTCCTTGTTACATGTACTTCCTTATTACTTATAATAACAATAAATTATGCATAATTAAATGCAAGTAACCCTAAGCCAAACCCTAATCCTAACCCTAACCATATAGTAAGTACATGTAGTTAATATATTACTGAGTACTTAAATGTATAATTTTACTGTAAAAAGGACACCTTAAAATAAAGTGTAGCCAAAGTTTAGTAGGTCTTAAATTAAAACAATATGTTTATTGTAAAACAAATGATGTCTGAAGTGAAGATGCAAAAGTATTTGGGCACATTCTGGTTGTCAAACTTAGTCAACAGATCTGACTAGGCTATATATATGATATTTTGTATTATTGAGATATATATTATACATATTATTAATATTTTGAATTCGTTTTTTCATTTTTATAGTTTTTAATTTTATATTTTCGTTTTAATATTAGTTACAAATGTAGTATTTTGCTGTGTTTTGTCATTTTTATTGTAGATTGTATTAATTTTATATCAGTTTTAGTTTTAGTTATTGTAGTGAATCAGGTTAAACTAAATCAAAATGATATATGTAGCTGAAATAAAACAAGTTTAAGGTTTATATATATATATATATATATATATATATATATATATATATATATATATATATATATATATATATTTTTTTTTTTTTTTTTTTAGTTAAGTTAAAGTTATTATTTTATTTTATTAACATTTTTAGTTTTAAATTTAGGTTACTATAATAACCCTGATATTACCCCTAAAATCATCTAGAAACATGAATGAGAAAAGTGTATTTGTTTTCATACAGTAAAATGGTTTTATTTTGTTATCTAATGTAATGGCATTCATACATTTTTAAGAGCATAAGGCCACTGAATTTCATGAACTTTCAGTCTTACAGTCTTACACTTTACACTCAAACATAAGTAGACGGATGCATTCAGATCTCAGACCTTGAAGAGTCTCATTTTTTCTTGTGTGTTGATGGATGGATATGCACAATAAGAGCGTGAGCAGTAGAACCCTTTACCTGTAAATTTGACGACCTCTAAAAGTAATTTCTCAGCGCATCCTGCCAATTAAACATCCTGCAAGATGATTCCCAGAACCCTGAAAACTAGACTTCATTGTCTCAAGATATTTATTATGTAATGCTTCCAAATAGGTGATTTTGCTCAGCGTGCGCCAAGTTCTGGTCTGCAATGTGGATCAACAAAAAGCTGTTAAGATTTGTATGACTTTTTCTAAATGAGATGTTTTGTTTTCTTCGGGTATAATGATTGTGAAGGGCTAATCCTATGTTAATAATGGGAGTTGTTATTTATAGTCTACTGAGAGTGAGTTTCAGTAGGACTCATTAAAATATAAAAATGACATTGGAATACTGCTGGGAGGAAATAACAAGGGCTAACGGGTTTGCCACTGCAAATTGGGTTTCACATACAGAACGTCCACTTTAAATGACATTTGATTCTTTTTTGTGTCAACCTCAAACAGCCTTTGGTGTCTGCTGCAGTGAACATCTGTCATGTTGTAATTGTGTTATGTTCATATTTTGTCTCCCATGGAAGCCAATTTCTGCCTTAGAGAAAAGAAGGTAATTGTGAGCTAAAGTTTAAAATAATAATCAGAGTCATGTGGAATATAAATTCACACGAGATATTGTGAGGATGAAGTATAAGGCTTCTAGTCTTTCCATCACTTTATTTTTTGTGTTTTATAGCTTTCTGTATTTTATGTGAGCATGCATTATCTTTTAAACCATCTGTGCTTTAGTGAAACAATAATTAAGAGATGTCAAAATTACTAATTGTGCACCCACATTTAATTATACCTATTAATAGAGATTTCATAAAATTGTGTCATTAACCCCCATTAGAAAGAAAGTGGTTATAAGTTCTTATATTACATTATGAATAATATTATACAAATATATCTACCATTGTATAAATCGGTTGACACATGTCTGAAGGATCATGTGAGTAATGATGCTGAAAATTCAGATTTGCATCCCAGGAATAAATTCTATTTTACAATATATTAAAATAGAAAACAACTATTTTCAATTATAATACTATTTCACAATTATTACTGTTTTAATTATATTTTTTATCATGTAAATGCAGCTTGGTGACCAAAAACTTTGAGTGGTAGTGTATACAGTTGCTGCTGTATCTGAGCGTATCTGCTACAACAAGCCACTTACCTACATTAACCAACAGATCACGTTCCACTCTGTATCTAACAGTCAGCGGATGGAAAAACGAATGACAGAGATGAAAGAGAGAGAGCAAGTGGAGAAGGGAAAGAGAGTGGATCATACTTGCCCTCTGTGAACAGGTCTGGAAGTTGGAGTGATATTGAAAAGCTGACCGGCTGATGCAAGACACAAATGACCAGTTAGCGGCTGAAAATATCAGGACATAGTGCAAATGCCAACTGATGGATGCCCCTCACTGATCTGAGAACTGTTAGTATTTTCCCCTCAGATGTCCATAATAAAATCTAAAAAAACCCACCCTAAAATAGAAACTACAACTAAATTAATCAATTAAATATAAAAATGAATAAACACATGCACACAAAAATAAACACATAAAACTTTAATACAAATATCTAGTTTCTTTTAATTATTTTTCATTTAACTTGTATTAGGAATGCTATGATTATAATGGTGCCAAAAGACTGTTTCTCTTAACTAAGAGTCCGTGTGATGAAGGAACTACACTGAACAAAATTATAAACGCAACACTTTTGTTTTTGTTGAGCTGAACTCAAAGATCTAAGACTTTTTCTATGTACACAAAAGGCCTATTTCTCTCAAATAAAAGATATAAAACTGCACATTTTAGAGTGGCCTTTTATTGTGGCCAGCCTAAGGCACACCTGTGCAATAATCATGCTGTCTAATCAGCATCTTGATATGCCACACCTGTGAGGTGGATGGATTATCTCGGCAAAGGAGAAGTGCTCACTAACACAGATTTAGACAGATTTGTGAACAATATTTGAGAGAAATATACCTTTTGTGTACATAGAAAAAGTCTTAGATCTTTGAGTTCAGCTCATGAAAATTGGGGGCAAAAACAAGTGTTGCGTTTATAATTTTGTTCAGTGTAATAGAGTAAATCGCCTCTGAATCCTTTAAAGTGCAGCTTCTGTTGAACTAGAATCCAAATATAAAGTCTTGGCTCTAAAAATAAAGCCAAACTCGGATCAGATCTGAGTCTTGCTTCTGTAAAAGCGGTTGTGTGCTGAAAACGAGAGCAGCAAGCGTTAACTCTAACGTGTTGTGAATGTCACACACACTGCATTAGAAAATCCAATCTATTGGTCGGTTGAATGGATTTTGACAGGCATCACTATGACATGGAGATGGTGCCTGCTGGGAAAACAGCCTGGACTTTGTGACACATGGATGCATGTCACCATGCAGAGACACAATCCAAAGCAACAGTTATTGCAGCTTGTGTTCTCATTGGCCATATTTAAACTATGAGTATGCACTTTAATTCACAAGACATATTGCCTATGTTCAGAATTATACACTCCTGTAACATACTGTGTAGTATACAGTTATAATAGTAGTATATGTGCATTTAATTAATTCATTTATTAAAAAATCGATTCATTATGTAAAATGGTATATTTAAATTATTTTCAGATTAAAAAATTGTAAAAAAAAAAAAAAAAAATTTAAAAATGCATTCTAATCCAAAAATCACAGGTGATATTGATTCTGGCACAAATGGAAAAAGAAAATCAAAACACGCTTTGAATGGGGTGCAATTTTCCAAGCAATATTCTGAAAAATCGCCATCCGCTAAAACGGCGTACTGCACAAATGTGCTATTCTGAACGTAGCCATCTTTGTGTTCTCAAGCCAGATGTCTAGAAAAAAAAAGCTTAATGGCCTGCTAATACAATTAGAAAACAGGCTATATTTATATTCATGTCTAACCATAACGCTGTCCCAGTTTTTAATCATATGCAATTCTGCATAAATAGCTTTAGGGGGCGCTGCTCAGCTTACTGCGTCTTTATAGATCCAGAAATGCCCTTGGAATTTTGAAAAGATCCACGGCTCTGTCTGTATTATGTCTTTAAGAAATCTTTGCTATCCTTTCTTCGCAGGATTTTAAGCTATTTTTACCTTTAGAGAATATGCTTGTTTTCATGCATGTCTGATGATATCGTCTCATAGACAGCCCTACCCACATGTGAACTCAACAAATGCAAATGCATAGCATGACGTACTTATGAAAGCTTTTATCTAGTGTTATGGCATTAAAAGCACATCAGTTTCAAATGGCACATAATGCATGCGTGTTTAATCAGCTGGCATATGTAAAATACTGCTCATCACTCAGTCAGAGCAAAAGAGACAGACGGAAAGGCAAATGAAGAGGTCAGTGTTGGTTGATTTGACTGTGCTGAGGCCTTTTGTGAAGTTAGTTGTGTTGTTACTTTTCTAAAGATTAGTATATAACAAAATATGAACATATAGCTGCATTACACGGAAAAATGAATCATGTCAAGTGCTGTTGAGGGTTTATGTTTGGATTATTGGTTTGCCTGTCATGGCTCATTGAATAGCAGCGTTGGGTTAACTTATTTGACACTGGGTCAAAGGTCATCGGTTACTGAGGATGAAGTTTGTTAACCTCTGTCTGCAAGGAAAACATCAAAAGACTTCATGATGACAGCAGAGGAAGCTGTATTTACAGAGTGAAGTTCACATCTTAGAGTCAAAACAACATCAAAATTAACAATGTCTAATACAAATTCTTGGTATAATTAATTATCAATGTACAGTACATTACTACAAATAAATGCATACATTTTATTTGGGAGAAATGTTATGTTTCAGTTTTTTTTTAATGGTATTTCCAAACATGAAATGTATGGAACTGTTCATTTTATTCAGCCTTTAATGTGTAAACTCAAAGCAGAATGTATTTATAAAATAAAACATAAATGTGTTTTGTAGGACGATAAATGGTTGGGATTTCACTAGCTAAGCTAAAAGCCAGCAGACATTTCTCGAAATGAATTTCTTCCTCAATTTAGCCGTTAAATCGGCCTCAAGGGCTTTAAATGTGATTTAAAATCCTGGCAATTTATAAAAAGTGCATGTCAGCATAATGATAGGTCGGAGACACCACGTCTAGAATGAGCAATCACGTTTGAGGAACATCACCTTGGTATTTAACTGCTTAAATGTGTTTGAATTGAACACAAGAAGGCTTTGGATGTCTTGCATAACACAATATCAAAGATGCATGGAGCCTTTGGACTAGGCCTGTCTCCAGCCTGGTTTTGATTTGATTATGTTCTGTAATTATATTAAAATGATTTGATAGTAATATGGCTTCATAAATATGTCACGAGGACAGTTTAATTCGATAAGCTCATACTGAATTACGTCTGTCTGCATGTGCAGCACCTATCATTCACATCCAGCACTGCTGCAGTGATCATGTGACTCTGTGGTCCTGATGGTAGATGATCCCTGGGAATTTGTGTGAAAGATGAGAATGCAAACTCCCCGTGGATGCATTCGGGTGGGGTGAGGGGCTATTGCCATCCTGATGACATCATCACAGAGACCCGCTTCTTCAGCTCCCTCTATATTCCTCTACCCTGCTGTCTATTTTCTATTATGTGCAGTGTTTACTGGGCCGATGGCTGACTGCTATAAAATAAGCTCTTTACTCATTCAGCAGCCATGGCCATGCAGTCTCGGCTGAGGGAAGATAATGGCTTGGTGCAGTGAGCTGAGCTAGTCAGCATGGCTTGTTAACTATTTCTCATTGCATACCTGTAATGGATTCCTTGATCGCTTTTTCACGCTTGATAAATGCTTATGATTTTTTGTCAAATATGCTCATCAATCAACTTTGCCTGCCATCTTTGCACCCACAACATGGATGGATAGATGGATAGATGGATAGATAGATAGATAGATAGATAGATGGACGGACGGACGGACGGACGGACGGACGGACGGACGGACGGACGGACGGACGGACGGACGGACGGACGGACGGACGGACGGACGGACGGACGGACGGACAGACAGACAGACAGACAGACCGACAGACAGACAGAAAGACGGACGGACGGACGGACGGACGGACGGACGGACGGACGGACGGACGGACGGACGGACGGACGGACGGACGGACGGACGGACGGACGGACGGACGGACGGACGGACGGACGGACGGACGGACGGACGGACGGACGGACGGACGGACGGACGGACGGACGGACGGACGGATAGATGGATAGAGAGATAGATGGACGGACGGACGGACGGACGGACGGACAGACAGACAGACAGACAGACAGACAGACAGACAGACAGATAGATAGATAGATAGATGATGGACGAACGGACGGACGGACGGATGGACAGACAGACAGGTGAATGAATGGACAGACAGACATATAGATAGATAGAGAGAGAGAGAGAGAGAGAGAGAGATGGATGTAATCTTGGCTGTTCTCTTGGAAATATATTCTCACCTCATTGGCTTGCTAATGGTCTCTTGGGCTCTGCAGGCAGTGCTACATTTCACTCTCCTCTTATCGACTCATCAAAGCAGAAACTCAATAAGTTTCCTCCACACACCACTCTGTGAGAGTAAGCTGCTTCCTTAAGGCTTTGCAACCGAATCTAGCCAGGGGAGAGGACGGCACACAGAAGTGGGTCACGTTCAAACAACAGGGAGCTGAAGCAATCACAAAAATGCAATTAGAGGGCCCACAATGAGATTGATTTGATCATTTAACGGCCAACTAATGTGCAGCACGAATCCAAAACGGACAGGCAAATTACTCAGGCGATTGGCGTGATGAACACTTAGGGGAAATTTGACAAATGTGTCACGTTTGGGCCTTTGCCATGTATTGGAAGAATCATGTAGTCTCAGTAACCGAATAAACACATCCAGAGTGGTGTTGTTTATGCCGGTCTTTTTTTGTGATCTGACTGTAGTATGGAGGGCAGAGCCTGGAGGAATCACAGCATGAAATCTGCAGCCTGCAACAGCAGATGAAGTGTAAAATGAGGTGATAAAACTCTCCACACTGCCTGCGGTTCAGGCCTTATGGCCCCTTCTATTTCTGCAGGCACGAATCAGAAATTACGATAGGTACAGCCATAACCTTTAAGTGACAGGTGGATCTAAATCATCCTTCATGAGCAGAGAATGGGATACAGTGAGACACTGTTGCACAGTACACAGTCATAAAGTCTTAAAGGCGCAGTGTATCGTTTCTGTGATAGTAACAACATCAACCTGAATTCCAGATAGATAGATAGATAGATAGATAGACAATATCTGATGTGTCTGATCTTTTGTCTGTTTGTATAGCCTCTGGTATCTCCTCATCACCCACCACTCCAACACAACTGACCAAGCAGACTTCGGCGTTTCTTCTGGAAGTCAGTCGGAATGACACGGTGCACCGTTCCTCCTCCTCCCCCCTCGACACGGGACAGCACCACAGCCTGCCTGCCGCAAAACCACCGCCTTGTCCCTGCTCGGCACCTATATCTACCTCACGTGCGGTGAGTGATCTGCTGCGGGACATTGATACATCAGAGTCATTTTTGGCATCATTCATTGCAAGTGATGATCCAGTAGATGTTTTAATTACTAAATACAAGCAAAAACATTAAAGACAAAGCATAGTGCTTTCTGACAGAAATTCTTACGGCCTAAGAATAGTGTTTCTGTACAAGAATTTAAACAAAAAAATCCAATACGGATCACGTAAAGCTCCTGATCCTTGAAAATATGTTTTGGGTACTTAAAGAATGCATGCAGATTTGGAAATTTAAATTAAAATAGAAATCTTATATAAAAATAAAATCTGAAGAGCTTGTAATGGCTTTAGACATTGCATTTCTTATAAAAAACAAATTGTCGAAAACTTTGACAAAATTTTTTTAAATAATTTACTTATTTATATTGAAATGCTTGAAATACTATATACATATATATATATATATATATATATATACAAATAATGATAATGATTTTTGACAATAGTGTCATTTAATATATATAATTTTGATGATAAATATAATGTTTAATGGCACAATTTTTATAATAAATACAATGTCATATATATATATATATATATATATATATATATAATATGTATCTATCTATATAATATATATATATATATATATATATATATATTAATAATTTATATACAGTAATTATAATTTGCATAAATGTATAAATTGTTAAATGATTAATTATTAAAAAGTTTTAAATTATATTTACACACACATATAATTTATTTATCTGAAGAGTCACATGTTTAGGAGTCGTTAATGTCTTTACACATTTATTATTAAAAAAATACTGTCAAAAACATTTACATTATATATACTTATTTATATTGAAATATATATTTAATTATTCAATATATATTCAACATTTCTAAATCTTCAAGACACCTTCAGGCACACAATACTGTCACAACTCGTCAGTTCCTGTCAGTGGATCTAATCTGATTCTTACGACTCAACCCACTGACCGTTCATCACGTTCACATGCCAAAATCAATACAGCAGTCACCATCTGCAATGCTGTTGTCCTTGCCTCCTGCCCGGTAATCTAAGCAGAGGTCCAAGGCTGCACTCAGCAGATGTGTTATCAACTTCATGTGCATTTCCTTATCTGTTCAGTACAGTATCTGTTCATAAAGTTTTAATGCAAATATAATTGATTAATAAGGTCCTATAATCAGCCAAATTTAAATACTCACTGTGCCATAGTGTTTCAGCAGCATAGATAAAAATACAAAATAGCACAAGTTTTGTGAATTTGTCCCTAAAATTCTGCTACTCAATGCAGTGCAATAATGCCTCTTTATCTTTAACAACCCCTGAAAATCCTCTCTCAGCGATTCTCATTTTATGTACCATTGATCCACTGACGTGCTGAATGTGGGTCTCATATGGGTCAATGCGGATGGACAGAATCACTGCTGCTCAGACACCTTCACTGTTCACTGCTGTCTTTTAAATAAACTTAATGCCTCTCACTCTCAGTCAAGGTCTGACACTTTGAGTTACTACTTTTTTTCCCACTTTCCCATTACTTGTAATTCCCCAGATTTGTGAACTAACATTTTTCTCATGGCCGCCCCTTATGTGTTTGTTTACTTCTGTTGTATATTCATGGGTTTTTCTCACAAGCGCTCAAGTTTGTTCAGACAGCCACACCCACTGATTCATCAGGCAGGAATTTGGGCACAGTTCATTTTAATTACCCTCCATGCCAAATGTTTCTCTGGGAAAGGCCAAAAACAGTTGTGTGAAATATCTTTGGAGCCGGATGACTTCTATAGGTTTTCGCAATTTTTTACAGCTATATATGTATGTTAAATTGATTCTGTCCTATCTAGGTCTAAGGAGGGCCATTAAGGGGAGAGAGATGGAAAAAAAACACAGGAGGTCAAGAAAGAGTGTCACGGATGGGCACGACACAAACAGCAGCGCCGCACTAATAGCTTTATTTGCACAGTCTTTCTGTACATTGCAGATAAAGCTCATTTAAATTTGGACGCATAGATGTGCAAATGTATTTTAGACATGAAAGAGTAAGAACTTGATCATGGAAAACCACTAAGCACAATCAAGGAGAGAAAAAAACTGCCATCTAATGTCACTGATAAGACATAATATTAAAGGGGTCATATGATGCTTTTTTAAAGATCATTATTCTGTGTATTTGGTAGAACAGAATATGTTGACATGCTTTAATGTTCAAAAAACACATTATTTTTCAAATACTGTACATTATTATATTACATATAGTAGGTCCTCTATGCCCCGCCTCTCTCAAACGCTTCGTTTTCTACAAAGTCCCTCCTTCCGACAAGCGCATTCTGCTCTGATTGGCCAGCTGACCCTGTGCATTGTGATTGGCCGAACACCGCAAGCACACGTCGGAAATGTAACGCCCCTTTCCATAATCGCGAGCTTCATCTTTCAAAATAAATGCAAAGACAGAACCAGAAAGGGGAACAGAGTCGCTTGACATACTTGATGTACAAACACATCACACATTTTGTCTATGTAAATAAGTCATATGAATAAGACTGAAGGTGTCCTTAGAAGGGGGATTCCCTAATATGATTTTAAAAAATTTGGTAGTGAGGAAAAGGAGGGAAACTCTACATATGTATTTTGACGTTAAATGATGTTGAGCCCTTGAATCTTTTGTTGTCTATTGTGTAATGTGAAGTACTTACAAATTCCCTGCAGGTTTAAACAACTAGCATTTCATTTATGAGTGAATCACTGTTGTTGAACGAATCTTTTATTTCAGTGAATCATTCTTCTGTGCACTGACTCGCTCATATTAGCTGTTCACTGATTACAAGTGTGCGACTGACTGATTATATCACGAACAAATAGCTTTTTAGAACCGGTTGTGACGGGGCATTTCATTGGTTGGACGTATTGAACGAATATGCCGCCTTTACTGAACAAATCAATGTTTTTAGAACTTGTGTGTAAACTGAATCATGTTCTGCAACAAACTGAATTAACTGAGACATCTGATTTGAACTGAATTAATTAGAACTTTTCGGCATGGTGTGTTGTCCTAGATAATGCAACTATATTTGAGGCCACAGCTGTTATGTCGTCTGTAGCTTTAAATACTCAGATTCAGGTGGATTTTGATTGGCTGCCAGTGTTTTAGGGTGTGTTCACACTTATAGTTCGGTTTGTTTGGTTCATTTGGTCCGGACCAAAAAGGAAAATGATACATTTGGTCCTGGTCCTTGACAGCGAACCTAAAGGCATAGTGATACGTTCACAACCGGATTGGTTGGTTCAATGACGTATATATCGTGACAGAACTCACCGAATGCCCCAAACAAAAGGTGCGTTAGACTTAAAGCGGCGCTGCAGGTGTATGATATCAAAGCATCCATGATTGGTCTGCTCAGCGCCACTTTAAGTCGAACACACCTAATGCCGTCTGCTAGACTAAATGCGCTCATTCTTGCGTGTACATATAATTTTATATTCACCACATGCAAACTCACAAGGAGCTCATAAAAGGCACTTTACCTCATCGTTGCTCCACGTTTGCCCTCTGCTCATTTTGTTTCGGTTACACGGCGTCGTCAAATCATGTCGCATAGCGTCGCATCTTGTCATTACTTCCTGTTTTTGGTTCGTTTAGAAGTATTTGGTCCGTGTTGCGTTCATATATCATTCGAACCGCACCAGAGTTCGTTTGGAAGCGGACCGAGACCCATCTTTTTAGCGGTCTCGGTCCGCTTGTTTGATACGCACCAGGGTTCGGATGGCAGCGTTCACACATGCTCAAATGAACCGCACTAACAGAGCAATCGCACCAGGGTTCGTTTTAATCGAACCAAACATGCAAAGTGTGAACGCACCCTTAATTGTTTATCAGAAAATAATTGCTCTGAAAGTGATTCCAACTACAACACCTCTCTGTGTAGTTATTGTTATAGTTTTGATGTGGACGTATTCTCATGGAATTAGAACGATTATAAATACGTTATAAAATAAAGCCAATAATTAATGAGGCAGTGATTTTTTATTACACATATCACAAGAACCGCTTACTTGTCTTCACCTTCTGGTGAAATGACATTAAAGGTGCAGTCACACTTACCGCTGTGCAGCAAATTTTCGCTGGCGAAATCTGGTCATTTCAGTATGCGATCAGGAATGTTGCATGCAGACAAAGGATTTCCCCATGCAGATTTCGCAACTGGTTCAAGTGGGGTCACGTGAATTAACATGTGACTAGGCACATTTATTGCTTGCCAAAATTTCGATGATGAAATCCAGTCATTCCAATAGGAACCCACATGATGTGGGTTTTTGTGTGAGGACTAAAAAAAATCTTGTGTTCAAGTTGGTCACGTGAATTCGCTGTGCTGACAAAGATGCTGGAAAGTGACTTGTGAATTGTGCTTTATAAATTACTACGCTATGGATCCTTTTCACAAGACTGTGATGACGTGTTTCAACGGTCATCAGCATCGTAAATCCTCGAAAGTTTTTTTATATTTAGATTTTTTAAAAACATTTATGAACATTTATAACATCAAATTACAAAAAAAAAAAATAACGCTGAGGGTGTTTCTAATGCAGCGTCTATGGGAGGTACGGTAAATTTGACATCGTTCTTTTGCTATTTGAGCAAATAGGAATGCAAAAAATATATCTGGTAGGTTTACTCAATCACTGCTCTCTAAATTTACCCAGCTATGACGACTTCCGCTGCTGAGAAACCCGGAAATGTGAAAAAGTTCTATTGACAATAGACAATGGACCTTTTTGCACGCGAAATGTTGCTGTAATTTCGCTAATGTGAACGCACCTTTAACCTGCAGAAAGAGTCACTGAATCAGTGAACAGTTTTGTGAACCGACTCAAAGATTCGATTCACCGGGATGAATCAAAATCCCCACCCACCGCCAGCCAGTTTGGACTGGCTGACTCCGCTCGCTTTTATATTCACACATTGTCTGTTGCTCATAACAATAAATGAGTAAGCGGAATATTTGATTTAAAACACTCCCTGTCAGACAGTTGGCGGCTCGCGACTGCAGCAAACTGGAACAGTCCATTTGCAAAAAGCCGGAGGGGGAGGGTCTCTCATGACTGACTTCACATTGGATGCAGGGGTACACAACCGGTGCACGCCTGCAAACAGTCCCGATGGACCCCAAATCATGAGCACTTAGTCCGTTTGGTTTTTTCTGCTCCGAACCAGTTCGGTTTGCGCTGCCGCCGCTTAGTCTAACTGTTTCTTTATTAAACTCTGACAGTCAACTTCCGATCTCACCGGTCTCCTCACCGTCTGTCCGCCAGTGTGTGTGTGTGTGTGTGTGTGTGGCGAGGATAAGGGGAGGGCAGCCTGAGATCGCCTCGTCTCTGCTTGACACTGTCACTCTGTCCCCAGGTCCACGGTTTATCTGAAGACATGCTGGAGAAACTCGATCTCGAGGATGAAGGTAAGCCTCTTCGGGAAATATGTAACGATCTGCCTTCGCTTTCTGCACCGGCTGCCTCAGCAGCTTCGCTGTCTTGACATTGGGATGTTCTTTGCTGATTTATTTAGTCCTCACACTTCCAGGGATAGTCTATTTTAATCTCATTCATAATCTAATCACGCGATGCGGATTTTCCTCGGTCATTTTGGGGCACAGTGGGCATGGCGTTTTTATACAAGGTGTCGATTTCACATCGAGCTGCTCGGTAGGAATCACTGGAGATCCCAGTAATGTATCGGGATCCCCATTCGTCATTTCTAAGCTGTTGGGTGTACATGCGTCAGATGATGCTATTGGCTGGAGAGCGTCACCCACGTCAAGGAGTCCCTCAGGGCTGAGGGTAAAGCCCAATTATGTTTATTCCTTTTGCAGTTGTAGATATTGATCACTTAAACGATGAGAATGTTTAAAGTGGGGAACTCAGTCAGTGTTCAATTATGCACAACCTTTTAATCTGATGCAGGATATGATATGAAATTAACCATTTTTTTTGCTCACCATCTCAATATTACCAGCCACTCATTTTTTTTTACCAAGCATTTTGTTTAATTCTAAACTACTAACAAACTATACGCTGTAAAAAAAATTCTGTAGTATTTACAAAATCATTTTGGCAGCTGTGGTTGCCAGAATAATTTTGTAAAAAATACAGGAAAACTGTAAACACATTTACGGCCCAAAACTGTACATTTTACAGTATAAAACTGTAATTTACAAACAAGAAAATTTGAATGTAAACCAGTAAATTCAACAATTCACACTGCTATTAAAATCTGTTTTGTACCTTTAACATACTGACAACCACCATAATAATGCAGGTGGTACAAGAGAAAGCCACATGAAGAATCAAAGCTCATCACAAGTAGCTTCGCCACAAGCAGAAGTATATACTAATATATAGAAGGTGCACAGAGTCATGGTAACACACATGATACTTAAATAATGCATTAAACTTTCATTAAACAACAGAAGATGTAACATAAAGCCCAAATATACATAACTAATAACAAAAACTATTAAAAAAAACATGATTATTTAAACAAAATACTTTCAAATGTGGAGTGTCATGCAGGGAATTCTGGGAATATCAGTTTACAGGTTTTGACTGTAAATTATACATTGATTTGTTATTTTTACTTCTAAAAACTGTAAAATTAACAGCATTTTACTGTAAAATTACATGAAGTATCTGGTTAGATATTTTACAGTTTTTCCCTGTATATAGTACAGGAACTTACTGTTAACCTATTAACATTTTTTTCCCGTAGTGTTTTTCCAAAATTTTACAGTTAAAATTACACTTATTTATTACAGTGTATATATTCGGTAATTCTATATTTAAAAAAATATTTTATATTTTTAATAATATTTTTATATCATTTAAAAAAAGTATTTGCATTTTTTTTTAATTATGTGCAAAATATCCATTTTGAATATATTTTTTAAATATACACTAATTTTTTAAATTTCTAAACAACTAACAAACTATATATATATATATATACATATACAGTAGTCAACATTTGAAGTGGATCAAAAAAGTTCATCAAAGTTGTCCTAAGACAAGAACGCATTTAGGTTTTAGGACAACTGATGAAAGGTTTTCATCCACTTCAAATGTAGACTACTGTGTATGCATATACATACAGGGCTCCAGACTGCGACCATTTTTTCTGCCTGTGCGACTAAATTTTGTGTGCGGTCGCACTGGCGCGACCACCGCGTTGGTCAACTCATAAGCGCTACAATTTCTGTTGCATATGAGAAACATGCAAGCACGGTCACCGTTAGGTTTTCATTTTTGAAAAACTTGTTATCTTTGCTGTTTACCTCACATTAGCCTACGCTATGGAGGTTCTCTTTTATTTATGTATTTGATTCCTCAGTGTTTGCTAAACGTTCTGTAATTTATTAGTCGGTATATAATACAGCATGTGGTGTGCATGCCTCATCTTATTCGCTTTTGTTAATAAACGTTTTGTAAGCTAGTGTGTCATTGTATCTTACTGATTTATTGTTGTTGTGTTTTTTAATTAAGAATAACAATGAATCCATCTTTTGTTTTAGTCTTAAAAAAATGAAAGGTGTGTAGATGTATGTAAGCAAAACAGTGACAACAAGATTGTGAATTCGAAAGTGAAAGCATCCGAAGCTTAACAGCAAAAGAGAAACTCCCATTCACAAAATTCAAATCACAAATAATACTACCGATGATAAAGAACGGGTTGAATGTTAACCACTTTCGCTTCCATATAACTACAAACTATGATAAAAGTTAATCAGCATGCATTGAATAATCCCATGTTGAAGTGCAAAAAAGAAAAATAATAATAATAATTTTGCGACCATCTGAGAAAGTTAGTTGCAAAAGAGCGACCAGTGGGAAGAATGAGTCTGGAGCCCTGATATATATATATATATTCTGTAGTTAATATAAGGATAGAAATAAAATGTGTTGTATTATATTTAAATACAATACAAATTGTTGTTTTTTATATACATTGCCTTCTTATACATATACATACATATACATTTAAAATATTTTTTTAAAGAAATCTCTTAAGCTCACCAAGGTTGCATTTATTTAAAAAAAAAATAAAAATAATAATATATATATATATAAGTAGAACAGTAAAATGATGGCAATTTTGGCAAAACTTAATTTTCAGCATCATAACTCTCTCATCATAAAAGTCTTCAGTGGCACATGATACTTCATAAATCATTCTAATGATTTGGTGCTCAAGAAATATTTCGATGTTGAAAACAGTTGTGCTGCTTAATATTTTTGTGGAAACCATGATTTAAAAAAAAATATTTAATGAATTAAAAGTTTAAAAGAACAGCATTCATTTAAAATAGATATCTGCTGTAAGAATATAAAAGTTCATGTGAAAGTATATTTATATTCCTTTTGGTTTCATTTAAAGCATTAATGCAGAATATGGTTTATTAATGTGATACCTGATTCTAATTTTGTAAAAGTAGCTTATGGCTGTAGTTTTAATAAGCAATCAATTCCATAATTATAATTAGACTTAACAAGGAATGCTGTGTGACAGAGTAAGACCCAGCCCTGAAACAGTTTTCAGAGCGGACATTTTCCTCTGAAGTGCTTTCGCCTCCGGCAAGGTTTTCCCAGCAATATGAGGTGAGCATACCACACTAATCTGGCAGTGCAAGTCTTGCCATTATTTATAAAGGCTTTTGCGGCTGTTCTTTCAACTGTTGTACCTTTTAGGGGAAACAGAGAGCAGGTCGTGCAGGCTGCAAATCTGCACTCTCATGCTGAGGTTGAGGGGTTTCCCCAAGGCACTGGTGACGGTGAAGTCCTCAAAACCCTCTCTCACACTTTCACCTCTCACAGATATCCATCTCTGAACTGTAAAACCCCAGGCTGGTGTTTTTGGTTAGGCTGACAGTGGCTGGTTGGAAGAGACCAAAAATGAATTTTTAACTTTTGATCTCCGTAAAATGATAAACGTTTAGTGTTTTTAGATGAGTTTGTGTTGACATGCTCTATTCTGTACTGACACACTGACTTGAAGGAATAATTCACAGACCAAAAAGGCCATATATTAAGTTATTATTCACTGAAAATTAGGGAATGATACAGGCTAATGTAATAATGAATAATATCTTAGAATTTGCAACCAATCTGATGTCATGTGAAGAGCAGAGCAGTGTGCTTTCTGAAGTATTAATAGCATGTGCTAGTTTTTGAAGCGCCATCATTAAATGATGTCTGAAGGCATTGGTTTGAAGTATGCGGTTGTGAAGCGTTCCAGCGCGGCCTGCCTTGTCGATCTAATAGCATGTGAAAACCAGAATGTTTTCAACAAACAAAAGATTCATTCTGCAGTAATTCAGTTCTTTGAATAGCCACGGTGGACATCGGCCAAAGTGTCATGCCCCTGGTTGTGGTAGATCCAAACATCCAGACTTTCTGAGTGGCTTTCTTTTGTCATTTGTTTGGGCTTATATTGTAAATTATGATTAGCACAAATCCCACACTAGAATGTGTGTATTGTTGCTCTCGTAATGAAGTGTGGAAAAAAGAATGACCGAACAACCTAACCCACGTTTGCTATTGGTCAGGCATATAAAGTTACAACAGTAGGGTTTCGGAAGTAAAAATCCCATCCATTTTGTCTATTAGGGAATTGATTTTCAATGTACTTGAAAGGTTTGTACATATAAACCTTTAAAAACATACCTACTTTATGAGCTACAAGGTTGTTAATCAATGGTATATGCTTCTGTTGACGCCATCAGCCCACATTATTTCAACATATTTTTTTAAAGGGTTCATATGATGCGATTTAAATTTTTCCTTTCTCTTTGAAGTGTTACAAGCTCTTGGTGCATAAAGAAGATCTGTAAAGTTGCAAAGACTAAAGTCTCAAATCCAAAGCGATATTCTTTATAAAAGTTCAGAGTCATCCACGCCTACCTAAAACGGCTCGTTCTAACACGCCCCCACATGTCTACGTCACTATGTGGGAAGATTTGCATAACGCCGCCCAAATGCTCACGCAAAGGAAAAAGGCGTAACTTTTATTCTCGCTGTAGTATTGTTGCTGCCACCATGTCGAGACGCTTTGTGTTTCGTTGTGAATGCTAAACTACTTTGTTTGGCCTTCCAAAAGAGGATGATATCCGCTTCATCATGCCTGGAGCTGATCCGTGCTGGTCACTGAGGGAATACATCAACTTTGTGCTGTGGATCGCCGGATCGACTTTCACCATGGATGAAGCGGAGTCCAGCCCGGGGTCGTCACATGTGGTTGCCCCAAGTCCGCCGGCCGCGCCGTTCTCAAGCACGCCGGCCGCCGCTCACTCTAGCCCACCGTGTGTTTCGTTGTGAAAGCGAAACTACTTTGTTTGGCCTTCCAAATGAGGACACGACTAGAAATCAGTGGTTAAGTTGTATTTACAGCACTGTTCCAGAACAGTTCAAACCAAATATTAAACGGTAGCTTATAACAAACTTATTAATTTCTTCAATTTATTTATGGAAAAACAGCAATACAGCCTCATACGATTATTCACCTTTAAAAAGGCAACTTTAAATTAGCACAGATGAAAAGAAAGGAGGAACGAGTGAAGGAGACGCGCGGAATGAAAATGCACATTCGGCACTAGAGGGCGCTGACGCTTCCATTACCCCGGTAACCCTGAAAACAAAATAGCTGTGCTACTTTCTGAACTGTGTGAATGTTTCAAACAGTCATTTAGATATTTATATTCACTTTAGTCTTCACCATAGCACTAAAGAATTAATACTTAAAGACTTAAGCTATTTATTTTCAAACTTCTAACCTAAAATCTAACCTAAAACATGCTTATCCACACTATTATATCATAGTCGCACATTCCACAAGCTGTTGTTTTGGAAGATTGGCTTTAATAAGCTGTTTTTAGACTAACGAGAAAGATTTGAGTTCTGAAACTTACAGGATGTTTTATAGTACAATGACCTCTTATATGTCAAAAGATCAAGGGAATTTTGTTTTCTCATAGGGCTGGGCGATATAAAAAGAACCAAAGATGATATAGCTAACCAAAGACGATATAGCTAGGCGATATAGCTACACAATGTATCTTCGATATAATGTTTCATATCGTTCGGTATCGATAATTATTAGACTAACGAGAAAGATTTGAGTTCTGAAACTTACAGGATGTGTTTTGTAGTACAATGAGCTCTTATATGTCAAAAGATCAAGGGAATTTTGATTTCTCAGTTCATGACCCCTTTAAAGGGTTAGTTCACCCAAAATTTTAAATTAGCTTGTGTTTTACTCACCCTCGAGGCATCCTAGGTGTATATGACTTTCTTCTTTCAGACGAATCCAGTCGGAGTTATATTAAAAAATATAATTGCGTTGCATGATAAGTGACGAACGCGGAGAGAGAACAAAACAAAAAGCCGGTCATAAACTAGAAGTACAAACCGAGGAATTGTACAGAGAAATGTCGGAGGATTTCGATATAAACCAAGAGGAGACTAGTTTTCCTTTGCTAAAGTAAGAAAACTTTGCTTCCTTTGCTCCTATAAACAAACTCGCGAGACTAGCATATCTCAGAGGCGCGCGCGCAGCGCATATGTGTTGCGTCATCCGCCAGAACGGCTTCCACGTATGACAGATACCAGAAGTGAGAGAAAAGTGTTTATTACGTTTAAAATATGGATATTTTTCTTACAAAAACGCATGGATTCACTACGGGAGGCCTTTATTCACCCCCCCAGAGCGGTGTGAGGCACGTTTATTATGAATGCGTGCGCTTTCTTTGACGACTTGTGGACTGTTCAACTGCAACACCCACTGACTGCAATGAAAATGCTTGGAATAGCCAGGACAATTTTTTATATAACTCCGACTGGATTCGTCTGAAAGAAGAAAGTCATATACACCTAGGATGCCTCGAGGGTGAGTAAAACACAAGCCAATTTAGATTTTTGGGTGAACTAACCCTTTAAGCACTCGGAGTCACGTAGTATACATAGTCCCACCCCCAAACTCATGTCATTGGTTGAGCCTGTTGCTAGGTCTGGATGTTTAAAGACTTTTGTGTTATTTTATAGCGTCATAGTGTTTTCACTCTTTGCAGAGTTGTTTTGCATACACTTTACATTGTAAAGTTATTAAAAGTATGCTAACTTCTCACAAAGTACATATGGTTTCAGCTGCAAGCTTTTCAGCGTTTATTTTTTTTAAACCCCTCAGTAAAGTTTCCTCGAGCAACATCAGCTGGACTGTCCTATTTTAATCGTTTCCATGAGCTAATACTAGACCTACTGCAGGACTATTCTTTGACAATAGCCAGTAGTGTTGAACAGCGCTGAGCTGAAGCAAAGGTGAGAAATACTTTGAACACCAGGCTTTTATTAACCTCATCGCACTGAATGCTTTTTGTGGCCTAGCATAGTAAAAGAAATGTTAAGGTCAATCGCTTACTGAAAATCCACCGTAGTTGGACAGGGTTGTGAGTCAGATGTTACGTTTCTCAAACTAGTGGTTCAAAACAGATTAGAAACTGTCAATCAAGTGTGTATGAACACAAAGCAGTGGATGTTGCTGTCAGTAAGAGCTGCTTTCTCCACTAGGTCTTTTGATCAGTGTTTGTTGAAACGGTCAGATAGGTGTCTAGACTGGGGGGAGATGCACCGGAGTCCTCCTAGACTGCACCTACAGCCTTGCGACAAAAGATTTCAGTGGTGTTTTCAGTCTAGACAGCTTCTGAAGAAGCAGTTCAGTGTCTAAGAATACTACTGTAAGAATTACCATGGCAACTGGGGACATTAGGAGGATGCTGCTGAAAGGAACAACAAGAGAGACATCAGAGTCCACAGTTCAGTGAGTTAATGTCACCCATTTGTGTCATGCCGCCAGATCTACTGCAGTGGGTTTTTATTTATTAATTTTTTCATGTTTGCTAGGGATTTTGCTGATAGTATTTTAATAATTTACTTTGGTTTTAGTACACAATGTAAAAGCCCTGATAAATAATAATAATAATACTTTATTACTTTACATTTTCTATTATTATTATTATTATTATTATTAATGTATGTAATCTTATATTTTCTTCATTTCTATCAATATACATTTTTATATTTATTTATAATATTTCTATTATATTTATGTTTCACTTAATATTTTCCTTTCATTATGTTAGTTGATTAAATATAAGTATCATATTATAAGATAGTATACATAAAATAATGATATTATTATTATTATTGTTATTAACATATAGTACGTTATCTTTTTAACATGACTCATGCTATCATATAATCATATTAATAATAATAACTATAATAAATTATATTATTTTTAATACTTAATATAAGTACAATAATGTAAATATAATGTGCTTAATATAAAAATAGTCTTAATATTTAGACTATAAATGTATTAAGTATCATATTATAAAGGTAACATACACGTTAATAAGAATAATCAATTATCATTCTGTAATAATATTTCATGTACATGTTAAAATCTGACTAAATGTATTATCATATTAATATGAATATTAAGAATAAGAATACTTCACTGTTATTACATTATTATTATTATATTCAATGTACTTTTTTATAATATTACACTTAATATTTTCTTCACGCGGTATAAATCTTTACACATTTTACACATTAAATTATATAGCTGCTATTATATTCGAGGAAAGGCGTCCCTCATAAGTGGATCATCTTAGTGGGGCCCTTGACATCAAAAAGTATGAAAACTCTGTGATGAGACAACTGTCAGTTGAACTTGATAGTAACATATTTTATGCAATTTTCTTTTTTTTTAATGTATAAGGGAATTAATGTATTTTATCACAGCAGTTATTTTCAGCCTTCTTTTTTTCTTTGTACGCTGAATAAGGAATATTGTTATTTGAAGCTTGTTCAGCTTAATGTTTATTAATTCATTTAAATAATAAAACACACTTTCATTATGAATGCATCAGTTCCTCAGCCTTCTAGCAGTGTGCTGTCTGTGCTTAACAACTTATTGACTTGTACTTATGTCTCACTTTGCTTTCATATTGACTGTGTTTTCGTTTATTGCTGTCTTTACAGCTGTTGAACAATCTGAGAGCGACATTTACATGCGGTTTATGAAGTCACATAAGTGCTATGACATCGTCCCTACCAGCTCCAAGCTCGTGGTCTTTGACACATCGCTGCAGGTAAGAGCTCTGGGGATGTGTGGATGTCACTTATAACAAATCTATGTCTATGACTTACAAAACCAAGGTTTTTTTTTTTTGTAAAAAAAAAAATGTTTGTGTGTGTGGGGGGGTGCTATTGCTATTATTATCGCTCATCATACTTAAAGGGGTCATATGAAGCGATTTTAATTTTTCCTTTCTCTTTGGAGTGTTACAAGCTCTTGGTGCATAAAGAAGATCTGTAAAGTTGCAAAGACTAAAGTCTCAAATCCAAAGAGATATTGCTGCAGCTTTTAGAAAAGAGGCAGTTTCATATTTCTAATCTAGCTTCACTCGTCCCATTTGTCTCTCACTGTCTCTTTCTATCTTCATCTGTTTCTTTTCCCGGTGGTTTGTTATACCACATATTGATGTTTTCATCCGCTGTTCTCCCAGCGTGTTACACACATCACATACCGTGTGATCAGCACGTATGTTTCCAGTCTAATCCGGTATTGCACGTGCTGTCATAAACCGCTCCATCAGCATCAGTGCGGTCTGCTTGTAAAGTTCAATAGAGGCTCAGGAACCCACGAGGTCACTGCTCCACTGTCGATACGCGTAAATATTTGATAAATCCTAGATGAATGGTTTTCTCGCTGCCGGCGGGATTGTTTTGGACAGAAGATCCACGCCTGTGTTCCTGATCACTGACTCACAGCAGTGATATACTAGCCGTCAGCCCCACCGCCCAGTTCACAACAGCTTCCATACAGCAGAAAGGCCAGCCTTGGGGAACGTCTCATTATGTTCCTTGCTATGACTCGATTAATGTTTAATAATCTCAGATTGGGCTGGAACATCACCCAAGAAAAGAGACTTTCATGATTTATTTAAGAGCGCCCACGAGACGCCATGATTAATGCTTTGTTTGGCTCCATGGCAGTATTGACAGTGAAGGATCGGCCCGCCCAAAATCCTCCTTGGTGGAATTTATTCCAAGACGAGGAAGGCATGATTTATTTAAGAGCGCCCACGAGACGCCATGATTAATGCTTTGTTTGGCTCCATGGCAGTATTGACAGTGTTTGAAGGATCGGCCCGCCCAAAATCCTCCTTGGTGGAATTTATTCCAAGACGAGGAAGGCTTTGTGCTTAACTTTAGCTGGTACTAACAATTACAACATTTTAAGAATTCCACAAGATTATGCATGGTTTCCATTAATTGGATTTGGATTTATGCCTGTTGTAATCAATGACATGCCAGCCAAAGTGCAGAACAGAGTTTTTTTAAAGGCTTGGAAAGAAATTCTACAGGTTCATACAGGCCTGGTCGCCCACCTCAGGTTATGTGCTTGCTTTGAGTGAGTTATCATAGAAGTACTTTGCGAGGAGATATTTATGCTTAAAGATAAGGGAAGAATTCCTGCGCTTTTGCATGTCATGACTAGTATATATATATTTTTTTCTTTTTCTTTTTTTTCTTTCTAAAATTGCTTCAAGATTTATTTGCTTTCCATAGAGGTAATTAGTTAAGCGATATATATATGTGAGTGTGTGTGTGTGTGTGTGTGTGTGTGTGTTTCTTTTTTTAATACTAGCCTTTAATTATAATAGCCTTTAATTGTTAAAATAAAAAATTATAAATAATCCAAAATGAAAATAAATTAATTTGTGGTGACAACAGATTATTATATTATTGTTGTTGTTTTTTGTTTAATAATAATAATAATAAATAGTATTAGTATTAACAGTGGTACTGCTAGTGGTAGTATTAATAGAGATAATTTTATTATTATTATGTAAGTAATAATAATTAGTAATGCTGTTAAATGCATTGTAGATTATCTCCCTCTTAGTATTAAATGCATTATGGGCATGCTAATATAATTATTAATAATAATTAGTAGTAGTAGTATTAATATTACTACTGATATTATTGCTATTATAAGTATTACTATTTGTAATATTGTTAAATACATTGCTGATATTGTTTTCATTATTTACTATATGCATTATTTTAGTAATAATTAGTAGTAGTATTAAAATAATTAGTATTATTGTTAATATTATTACTAGTATTGTTAAATGCATTGTAGTCATTTTAATAATAATATTAATAATAAAAAATGTAACACTTATTTAAACGCACACATTCCATATTATGTTGAGAAGGCATAATACAATATGTTTATTGGTCACTTGGACATTTAAAATAACTTGTATTGTTTATACAGAAAACAATATCCATTGATGTGAATTTCTCATGAATTCCTTTGGTAAAGGTATTTTGCTTGTGGCAGAATGTTTAGACAAGTATGGACATGGGTTTTGTTGAAAACCAGTGTATATCTGTGGATGGTCTTCAAAGATGTAATTATACTCCATCTTTGTGTGCATTCTGTATGTTTGGACACACCTTTGGTTGTAAATTTCATTTAATCTTAGATGCTTGGAGTAAACAGCGTCATCTTCCTGTCACTGATGGTGCGACAAAAATGGTGTGAAATGTGACATGACATAAATAATTTTTTTCCCTTTTCTTTTTAGGTAAAAAAGGCCTTTTTTGCCTTAGTGGCCAATGGGGTCCGAGCCGCCCCTCTGTGGGAGACCAAGAAACAGAGTTTTGTGGGTGAGTATGTTCTGATAATGAATACAAAATCCGGCACTGTTTGATATGAGTGACAAGGACCCATTTTTAAAGTACAAGCACCTCATCGTTGACAGTAGAAGTTGTTATAAGTATTGAAATTCTTCGTACACTATGGTTACTGTCGTCTTATCAGTTTCCAAGAGCGTTTTCCTTATCTGTGGCTTCTTAAACCAAGGCTAAAAGTAATTGGAGCTGCGCTTTGGCAGACTCTCTAAGGGAGTGTGTAACATATACGTCCAGATCTCTGTGTCCTAGAAGAGATTCAGACTGGAGATGATCCTTCCTGTCACCCTCTACAGCACTCCGCAATCCTCTGATACAGAGTATTATCTGTTACCATGACAAAACCCGCTCAAAATAGAAGTGTGTGCTGACCAGAGTCGCAGCATTTGCCTCAGGCTCCACTACAAGTGGAGTAATGATTTCTGTAAGCTAAGCAAAATTAGCTGTCTGGGGGAAACATTCAGAACTTTCCAAAAAGAATGTGGTGGAAATTGCACAACCGGTCAGTGTGAAATTAAAGGGATAGTTCACCCAAAAATGAAAATTCTGTCATTAATTACTCAGCCTCATGCCGTTCCAAACCTGTAAGACCTTTATTCATCTTCGGAACACCGAAGATATTTTTGATGAATTCTGAGAGCTCTCTGACCCTCCCATAGACAGCAAGGATCCTAACACGATCAAGGTCCAGAAACGTAGTAAGGAGATCGTTAAAATAATCCATGTGACATCAGTGGTTCAGCCATAATTTTATGAAACTACGGGAATACTTTTTGTGTGCAAAGAAAACAAATATAATGAATTTATTCAACAATTCGTCGTCTCCGCGTCACCCTGGCACCATTTTGGAGAGTATCACATACGTAAACAATGTATGTATGCAAATACGTTGTTTATGCTTTGATCTGAACCTAAACAACGTATTCTTTGCGCACAAAAAGTATTCTCATAGCTTCGTAAAAATTACAGTTGATCCACTGATGATGTCACATGGATTATTTTAACAATGTGCTTAAATGCATTATTGAGAAGGTCAGAGAATTTCATCAAATATCTTAATTCATCAAATATCTTAATTTGTGTTTTCGAAGATGAACAAAGGTCTTACAGGTTTGGAACGACATGAGGGTAAGTAATGACAGATTTTTCATTTTTGGGTAAACTATCCCTTTAAAGACAGATATATATATACAGTGGGGAAAAAAAGTATTTAGTCAGCCACCAATTGTGCAAGTTCTCCCACTTAAAAAGATGAGAGAGGCCTGTAATTTTCATCATAGGTATACCTCAACTATGAGAGACAAAATGAGAAAAAAAATATTGAGATGCACCTGAATATATATATATATGGAATCAGAAGGGTGTTTTTCAGCATCCTCCAGTCTTCAGTGTCACATGATCCTTCAGAAATCATTATGATATGCTGATTTGCTGCTCTAGAAACATTTATTACTATTATCAATGTTGAAAACAGATGTGCTGCAGACTGATACATTTTGTTCAGAATTCTTTGATTAAACAAAAGTTGAAAAGAGTAGCATTTATTTAAAATGACATTTTTATTCATTTAAGTATTTAAGTATTCATTGTCACTTTTTATTAATGTAATGCATTCTTGCTTAATAAAAGTTAAAAAAAAAGTACTGACGTCAAACTTTTGAATGGTAGTGTTTATATTTTATATATATTTATAAAGAAAGCAAATAGAGTGAATTTTGATATACTATTGTCTTTTAAATGAATTATTCACCCAGAAATTTTAATTCTGCCATTTACACAGCCTCATGTAATTTCAAACCCATATGACTTAATTTCTTTTGAGAAATGCAAAAGGAGATATTTTGACATGTTTATGCTGCTTTTTTATATTTTACATTACATTTGCATTTACTCATTTAGCAGACACTTTTATCCAAAGCGACTTACAAATGAGGACAATGGAAACAATCAAAATCCACAAAAGAGCAATGATATGCAAGTGCTATAACAAGTCTCAGTTAGCGTAATGGTACACGTAGCAAGTTTTTTTTATTTTTTATTATATAATAAAAAAAACTTGATAGAATAGAAAAAGAATAGAGCAAGCTAGTGTTACAGGCCTTTTTTGCTTTTGTTAATTGTATAATAAATGAAAAGAAAACAAATAGATAGAATACAAAAAGATTAGAAAAGCTAGTGTTAGTTGTTGTTTTTTAAAGAAAACAAGCAGTAAATGAATAGAGTGCAAGTCTAAAAGGGACAATTTTTT